ATTGTTATTATTATTATTACTGTTATTACAGAAAGAACAATTGATGTTCTCAGTTTGACCTGAAAACCACCAACAAACTGTTTGTTTCTTCTTTTAAAGATCAACCGAAGAGCTGCAAAGCTGACAAGGTGAAAGTGAAAGAAAGATTATTATTATCATTATTATTGTTATTATTATTATTATTTATATGTTTTCAGCCTCTTTTCTTGTATCCAGAAGAAAACCAGCAGCTATATGACTGTTTGTTGTAAGGTCCAATATGTGAACCGATCCGATCTCACAGATCATTATCAATAGTTTTGTATTGATCAGCATTGAGGCGCCAGTGTAAGCTAACGTTAATCTCCGGGGGACTGTCGGTTGTGATTATAGACCGTACATATACAGTATAGAGTTTATAATATAATAATGACTCTCTGTGGTCTGCTGCCTGTATTCGTAATGAGCCGTTCTTTCAACAGTGTTTTATTCTTTCTGTTCAGACGGATCCTGCCGGACCTGTGAAACCCAAACAGAAGAAGACAGCGAAGTCGGATTTGATCCCGAAACCAACCGGATCCACCAAAACCTCCCAGGTAGCACCAGGACGGTCATGCAGTTAATTGAACTTAAAACTAGTGAATAAATTACAATCTTGTGTTTTTTGATTGATGATTACATTAACTGTCTCAACAATTATCAATTGGTACCCAATTCATTTTGGGGTTTACATTTCTGTAACGATATAAAGTCAACTTAAAGATAATAATAATTAAAATACTGCACTCAGAACAACAATTATTACTTCAACAGTTTTGAGTTGGGTTTAATTAATGAGAATGAGAGAGATGTTTCACTCACACATATCTGCTCAGTTTAAAAGCAGACAGTCAGATACAACCGGGGTTTCACTGCGGTTTGATACGTCTGAAAGCGTAATACGTAACAAACGTCTCTGTGCTTTAGGGTGAAAGTGCGGCTGTCCAGTCGGGGAAAAAGAAAACTGCAGCAGTGAAAAAGGCCAGTAAGAAGAAGGAGTCCAACCCCCAGCTGTAGACGTCTCCACTCCAACCTGGAGTCTTTTTGTGAATTAAAAAGATGTAAAAGTTACATATGTATTTGTGAATGGGGGATATGGTTGTTTTGAGCTTTTGTTTAAATAAAGAGTTAACACACTCCCGACTGTCAAGGCCTCTCTGTGGTTTGTTTCCATAGCCGGTC